TTCAAAAACAGGAATTGGGCAAGTAGCTTACATTAAGAAACCTCAGCATTGTGACAAGGTTTATGCATCACAACAGCCTATAGAGAGTGAGGCAAAAGTCAGTTCACCTCTCCGTGGATTAAAGCATCATCACTGGAATAGCAGAAGTGAAGTATAAAATACTATCATTGTTATCTCTCTTCTTACCGCTCTGCCCAACTTGTCAAGCCTGCTCCACAGCCACTCTGCCCTAGTTAGTAACACAGGCATGGCAAGAGCCCAAACGACGTCCTTTGTGAAATACTAAGGATTGAAACAACAACCCTGCAGGTTCGGGTACACCACTCCTATGGCCATAGCAGGCCTGACAAACAGACAAACAGCATGTTACGAGTACACACTTCACAGCAAAACCTTAATTCTGTGAACTTAGTACCACAATAGGAAAGACTCCCTCTAAAAAGCATCTGCCCTGGCAGGAATTAAGCTCCAACACTGCTGAAGCCTACGGGCAAAATGAAACCAACACAATGAAGTTGCTGCAAACAATTGAGCTTAGTGAATAAATATATATACACACAGCCCTATGGTTGTTACCACTGTTGAAAAATCAGCTTAATTTCTCACCAAAGAAATGGCAAAAAGTACATTCAGTCTTTCAGTGCTAACTGAACCAACACCATCATAGACAATAGAGTAAGTATTTAAAGCTATCTATCAACAGGGAGTTGAAGTCAGAGTAAAGACAGAGTGATGTATTCACAGACCTATACTTTGTCTGTTCAGTCATGCCGATCAGCATGTCTGAACATCCAAATGCTCCTGACAAATTGCTCACAAGTAACCCCTAATTGCCATTCACAGTAGTTGAAAAACCATTGAACGTAGAAAATGATGTCAAGGAAGCAATTTTACAGGTAACTAACAGAGAAGAGAATTAAATTCTAGGCATAAATCAACTATCCTGAATCACTAACTACCATGACTTGACAACTGTATGAAATACTTGAATTTGCCAACTCTTCTTTATGATATAGTCAGAAATTCAACTGTAATCTGACCAGCTCCGTCTCCAAGAACTTAAGTGCCATGAGAGGAACCTCTCAGTGTGACTTAATACTAGACGGATTTAATAAAAGGAATCTGATCCGATTTTTTTCAGAAGCAATGCTTAGTTCCACCCCTACACGCAAGAATACGGAAGAAGTGTAATAATAATCTTACTAAAAAATCCACCTTACTAAATTCAGACACAAAAAAAGGCTTAGCCAAGATGCCCAAAGTCTGAAAAATGTGTATCTTAGTTTTACCCGCAACCTGAAAAACAACCAAACCACACCAACCAAAAAAAACCCAAACAAAAACACTCCCCCCCAACCAAAAAACCTCCAAAACCAAAACCCCAGAAAATTTGAACCAAATATAGTCAAATTTGTCTTCCTGAGTATTCAGATATTCCAGTGTGGGGAAAAAGTGTGGCAAGCATGGGAGCGAGGAAGAAAACTACTTAGCTCATGCTGTGTCAGGGCTGAACAAGCCCTGCCTATACTTGTCTACTGGCTATTTTTGTGCCTGCATTTGTAGTTCTTCTTGATGAGTGACTGTGAAATCCAGGAGGTCCTGTATTGCTTCAGTTTTCCTCCCTGGTAGAGTTTATTCTCATCGCTGTGATACACTGTGCTCACCGCTAGTCCCAGTCCAGATTCTGCTGACTGCAGATGTGGAGCCATCTGCTTTCAAGGACTGCAGCCTTGAGACAAGAATTCCTCCCATTCAGGGAAAAGTACAAGAACTCTATGAAACACATCTTTACCAAAATCCCATCTCTTGGTATCAGTAGCAGGATTCCCCCTCAACTCAGTTGTTTTACATTAGTTGAGAGACCACAGCCCTCATGCTTTCGAACAGCCTTCGCTTCTCTAGCTGGTTCATGCTCCTGCACAGTCTTTTTCTCTTTAAAAGCATCAGGAACAGATTTACTTGCTCATTTTTGGCCTGAAATTTTGAAGGCATTTACAGGTTATGCTTTTGTTATTGGAAACCAGTGACACACTTCGCATTTTGTTACCCTCAAATCTAAATAATTTCCCCACCGTAAATGCCACAGTGACCATTAACTACTATTTCTTAGGTAAAACCTAAAAGGTATTTTATAGTAGTGTTGCGCCATGAATGCAGATCTGAAATGTGTCCATTCGCCCTCCAAGTTCTTACGGTATACAACAGTAAAGAAAAGGGTAATTTGTGATGTATTATCCCATTTCAGATTTCACTTCATTACTGAATCATCTTCAACTGAACTTTAGTGCTAAGAGTAAATCTGCCAGACACTACTGCATGGTATGTGAAAGGCAGTATTAAAACCCCTTGCTAAAAATAAACTTGTTATGCTAGCAGTGAAAGATCAAGAACAACTGCGTAACTAAAAATTAAGTTGGGAGACACAGCAGAGGAGGCATTACCTGGTGGCTGGGTTCTCCTTGTGTGACCATCCATAGGTGTCAGGCAATGTTGAGACAGGCAAGTTTTGCAGCACTGCTTCTTGATGTGTTGATTTCAGTAGCTACTGCCAGTAACCTTTCATCTCTACCAGCAGATAAAATCTGTGTGAGTTGGAAGACACTGGGCTGACAGCATTAAAAGATAACTGCTAGCATCACTGTAAGTCCAAAACCAGACTGATGTACAATCAAATACTGGAACGCCAAATGGATCACATCTGAGCATTTTAATAGCATTTCAGTGAAGGCTCATTTGTACAAACAGAGGAAGAAATCAACGCATACCAAAGAAAGAACATTGTTTGAAAATACAACAGGCTTTCTGCAAGCTGGATGGTTGGACTTCCTTCCATACCAATTATGAAATGGCAGCTGACATTTATTGTCCTTTCTGAGAACTATTCCCGTGGGAAGTATTCCTGTTACCTGTGAGTGGCTGGCCAATAGAGGGAGCGTGGAACAGGCTGGGTTCTGACTAAACTACGGCTTTAAAAAAACCCACCCACGACTCTTAGCACAGAAATAGTACCAAAACCAAATTCCTTATCTGTGTGTTTTTCTAAGCCATTCCAAAACCATTTCAACTCAAACACAATACGTAAATCTTTATTAAAGAGACTGCTTTGTAAGAGGGCAAGCACTTTTCTGAAGGTTTTAACCTTCTGCATGCCAAGAGTTAGCATTAGTCCAAGATCATAAATCCACTTGTAAATGGCAACTTTCTTGTTTTTTCTGGCAATTGTTTCCTGAAGCTCTCACCACATGCAGCAGAGAACAGATGACACCTTATTTATGCTCAGTAGTTTTACATGTGTGCCATTTTCAGCCTTAAACTTTTGAAAAATTGAGATAAATAACAATCAATATTCATGTACCCTTTATTTGCTTTCAGTGTAACATTCCATACTAATTGCAGACGTAATATTCATGAGTGTAAATATAAGAATTAACAACTCTGGGTTGGTTTTCTTCCCTTTTGTTTTACATGTGAATATTTTGGCTTACAAAATTAACAGCATACGGTAAATAATCCTCCCATACTTTGTACAAACTACATGATTTTGATATACAAGGATTCTGTTTTTATTACAGTGACAATATACAACCATGTCTATTTACAATGCAAAAAGTATATAAACCACATTTTAAACATTCTGCTACTGGCAGCCACTATTGTTTAGGAGGTAGCTTTAATTAACAAAATGAACTGAAGCCACATTTCCCATCATGTGTTCTATCAAATAATTTACAATACAAAGATAAAAATTCATTGTATGCACAGTATATACAGTTTAATTCTTGAAACAGCAATCCAGCTTTAAATCTTAACGAGAATGTCTCCAGAGTAACTGGGATGGCAGTGGATTTGCTCTTAAATTTAGCACATTGTTCAAGAAACATACATATATTTACCTAATCATGCATTCATAATTTTGCATCAATCAGTTTCAAACTAAATATAGATAAACGGATCACTGACCATACTTAAATCATTTGGGTCTCAGGACTTCAATGGTTTAAAACTATTGCACTGATTTACATGAAAATCAGTGACTCCACACAGTGCACTTCACTCCCAGTAACGTAATTGGAAAAATGCTTTGCTTTACTGCAAAAATGCTTTCCATTTCCCTCCCATTTGCTAAAATCTCAGTTTATCATAGGTGTTATTGGAACACTGTAACATTCTACAGGCTGCAGAGTACCAGCCAGTCTTTCTGCAAAGACATGAGCTGTGTACAATGACAGCACTGCTAACACCCCCCTCATGCATCAGTACTCCTTCCAACAGTGGGACCTGACTGCCTGATACTGAAGCAAGTTGCTGTGGTTCACCTGAAGTAATGCATCATCACTGGAAAAACGTGTTCAACCCTATTATTCCGGACAGCTGTTAATATTCTTATTTTATCATCTACAGGTATTGTGGATTACAAGTGCTTGATTGTAACAAAACTTTTTCGTTAAAAAATAAGTATTCTGAAATACAAAACAAACATGGTATTCCTATATTGCTGTCACAGTTATGTGTGGGAGAATTAATCCCATTTTTGGCCCTGCAGTAAAATTCATCCTGAGATTCAATGCTGAATACACTATACAAAGCTAGCAAGAGAGGTTTTTTCTCAATTATAGAAAAGTCACATTTAAAAATAATTTCTTTTACTATTAAACAGCTGTCTTTTAAATTGTGCTTTGGCAGGAAAGAGAAAAAAAAAATCAACAGAACTTACCTCGCCAATAGCAGAAGCAAAGTTCAACTGGAGTACAACATGGAAACACACCATTAGCATGTAAAAAACTGTATAAAAGAAAACACTATTGCATGGAACAGAGTAAAAATGGGTAACAATTGGTTTACCAATTATTTACAGTTAGGGCAATCAAATTATTTGTCTCATTATTTTTAAACGTATGGCTCGAGAAGTTACTGCCCACTTCCCTTCTTTACAAATGACACTAAATGATGATTACAAAAGTGCTTCCTGCTCGGAAAGGTCAAAACAGGCAACAGTCTATGAAGGATTATACATCTTTATTAGAACAGCTGATGGCAAAAGGCCCTTTCAGTCTTTAATTCTCGGTATGTTGTAGGCATAACGAACCAAAGGGAACCCTCGGCTTTGGTAGAAGCACGCACGGCCACAGGCCTGCACTTGGTCTGAGCTGTCCGACACGAAGGAGTCGTCCTCATCCGCATAGTCGGAGTGGGCTGACTGCGTGCCACAGTCTGACCAGTAGCCATCCGCCCTTTGGCAAGGCACCACGGCCAGAGCAGGGCAGCTGTGTGATTTGATCAAGTGTTTACAGGGCACGGGCTTGGACAACAGGAGCGATTCGCAGCATTCACACACGGCAATGTTACCCTGCAAGTGCGTGTAGACTCCACAGTCGTAGTAAAAATCCTGCGCCACGCAGCCCCCTTGAGCATTGACGGCAATCGCCACCGCTCCGTTCTTCCTGGTCAGGTGGCGCCTGAGCAACTTCCAGTCTTCCTTGAACTTCGGGTTGAAGAACACATACAGGACTGGATTCAGGCAAGCAGGCAGCGGGAAAAATATCAAAGTAACAGACTTCATGATTTCAGGGCTGATAGAAATCGCAGTGATCAATGGTGCAAATGAGAAGAATGCAACAGGACAGAAAAAGATGCAGTTCGTGAAGATAAGCCAAGCGACATGCTTAATCATGCTGGACTGCGAGTTTTCGGAGAGGTCCTCTTTCTCCAAGTTGCAATACAGTTTAGTGTAGATAATAGCCATTAGCAAAAATGCTAATGAATTCAGGAGCACTAAAGTTACAGTGAAACCTAACGAAGCTGTTTCTCCAGTGGGGAAGGGCAAGCAAAGGGGTGATGCTGAGTACTCTGCTTTGTAAAAAAGTGGTAAGCATCCTGCTACCACAGCACACAGGAAAGCAAAAACTGCTGCAATCTGAAATTGTTTTTGGCGATTGCTTTTCCCCTTTTTAATGATCTCCTTCGCAGAGAAGCTCCGTTCAACAGCTGCCAACATCAGGAAAAAAATGGCACTTTCTGACGAAAAGACGGCAAGAAACCCAGCTGCTCTGCAACCACTGCCAGTCTCCCACCATATGCCAAATTCAGCAAATCTTCCCCAAGAGACAGCATCCAAGAAAGTTAAAATACCAGTATAGACTCCCATAAATAAGTTAGAGACAGAAATCAGACCTATAAACAGTTTAGAAGATGGCAATGGAGTACAGGATGCAAATACTGTTAACATGACAAGCAGGTTGAAGAATAAAGCAACCAAAAAAATGAACCAAACAGTAAGTCGAATCATCCAGCTGCCCAATAGATATTCACAAGGCTTAAAAGCACCTAGAAGAAAAGAACAAAAAACAAAAAAACAAAACAGAAGGACAAGCAATTTAGGAAAACAATGTGCCTTAATAAGCAAGGTTTTCGAAAGGTATTACGTGAGCAGTCCTCATTAATTCAAGAATAGAACACATAGCTGAAGTGCTAAACAGGTCAGTTGAAAGTAAACTATTCTGCTGAAGCTATTTACTAATTAATTATGCCTGAAATAATAATTACTGTGACAGTCACTTGAGAATACTTCATATAAACAAGCTCACTAAACAAACTTAATTCCCTTTCAGCTACTCAAAACAGCTTTCACAAGTGCCACCTAAACACCTTTTATTTTCTTTAGATTTCATACTTCATTAAAAAAACACTGGTAGCAAAATAAAAGCTAATGTTCACAACCAACTTGAAAAGTGAAAGAATTTTTTAGAAGCAGTACGTTCTCTTGAAAAATGACTCAGAAACATGCCTTGTGGAGCAACTTTTGGTCACAAGGAAACATCTGTAAAACAGCTGACAAATAGAGTTTATCAGCTTTAATAGGGACAGTAATTCACCACAAGCCCTCTCCCCCACCCTCGTCACTGAAAGGCACTGTGAGCTTGGAAAGTCGTATCAGGAAAATGGGTTTTTTTCTTCTTCTTCTTTCGCCACTTAAAAAAGCTTAAATAAGAAAATACGTCCAACAAGAAAAATAATACGAGCTGAGACAAGGAGGAAAGGTCACTACTCTTGCTTACTCCTCTAATCCTTCTAATCGCGATTTATTCCATAGGGAAATCATACTGACTTTTAGTAACAATTAGAAGAGTTTAACCCCTCCTACATCCCCATTAGGCACTGCTAATTGTCCAAAGCACAATAACTGGGGATCTCTCCCTGCAGTTGGGCACTCTGGGAGCTGAAGGCAGAGCAGAAAAGCCCCAAACCACCCTGGGCTGGAGCTTCGGAGCTGGATTCAGCCCATGACTCCTGGCTCTGCACAGCTCATGCCCTCCCTTCAGGCAGGTGAAAGGTAAGTACAACCCATCCCTCCTGCAGGCTGGAACAGCAACAGGGCAGAACGATTAAATACCAGCGCAAAAATCTCCCAAGGCAACTTCCAGAAATTACTGAAGTGACAGGTTAAAAAAGAATCTGCTTGTTTGTTTAAAGGAGCAAGCTTCATTTCTGGGCAACAAATAATGGTGCCAACTGGATTATCAGATCAGTAAAATCCCCTTTTTTGCAGATATTACTCAGTAAGACATCCTCGTCAGAATAATTATTTTTACGGTACATTCATGTGATGCAAAAATACCTGCTGAGCTGAATCTGCTTACAAATAAAAACAACTTCCACCTTAGGAAATGTAAAAGTGTCAATGCTGGGCTTCAAAAATCAGTTTTCTAGTAGCTGTGCAGTGAGGCATCTTTGGAGAAAAAAAACCCCACCACAGTTTTCTGTCTTTCTCCTAGTGTCTAGCTATCCTTAGAGTTAAAATTACCCTCCCCTTTAACTAATATTCCCAGCCCACAGGGGGAAATTCATGCTGGGAAGGACAAGTTTCACGGCTTTCAGCGCTATGCTGCTTGAGTGCCACTGTTCAGCAATCCATCCCTGCCATTATGCAAAGCAGAAAGTGGATCTACGAGATGAGCAGTGATTCAGAATTTAGATGGTGGGTGGAGTGTCCTACTTCTGACCAGACAACAGCACGGCAGAGAAAACAAGTTGTTAGTATAGGAGGGACTGGTGAAAAACAAGGCAAGTTGTGAACTGGTAGAACACGCTCTTCATTCCTTTTAGAGCTACAGCATCTCTGGCATGGGCAAAAAGAGACAGCTAAAGGCTTTAAAGATTTAACCTATGTAACACACCATCTGAATTCTCATTCTGTGCACAGAAGATCAAAAGCAAATAAGCAGCATTGGTCAAATTAATTCTCAGATCACATACACCTACATTAATAATATATTTTGACTTTCTGACCACAATTTTTTTTGGCTGTGATTAAGAAATCCTTGTGATATTCTGTGTACTAAAGCCGGAGCTAGCGAAGAGATGAAAAGCAGACAGATTTTCATAATGGATGTAAAACACCAGTTTAGGAGAAGAGAATGAAACAAGACTTGGAAAACCCCTGCTCATCCAGTATTAACTTCTCTGGAAGTATGCTGTTCCCCTCATCTATGTGTTCGTATTTATGCAAAGATGAGGGTACAAGAGGTGTAGAAGGAATCCTCTGGAGAGCCCATGGCAAAGGCAAGGTTGTAGGAGGCACCACAGCAAGTGCCTTCAGAGCCACGTGGAACCATGCGTGGAAATGTGCAGGTCGAGGAAGATAAGCAGAAGGGCAGCAACAAAGCTGCCAAGGATGGAAATACTCGTTTGCAAGATCAAAGACTTTCAACACTCCTGGACTGTTCAAGCCTGAATTGGAGTAGTTCTGATATGCCAATAAGCCTACTCATTGCACAGGTATCTGGAGCAGTTGAAGATGCTACTGCATGCTCCAGCTACCTCTAACAGCCCTCTGCTGTCAGTTAATGTGGCTACAGCAGGGCTGGGGAACAGATTAGCTGAGTGTTCCTCATTCTCTCCTGCAAAGACATCAAGCTTAGTTAAAACCACCAGTGACAGTAGTTTGAATTAAGCTTTTAAAGCACAGGCTGACTTCTCACTGAAGCAGATGAGCATTCATACAGACATCTCTTTGGCAAGAGTAACACAGAATTAGGGGGCAGTGCATTAAACACAGCAGGCTCTAAATACAAGTATTACAGCCTTGATTTTTCTGCTTATGGAAACAAAGTTGTTTTTTCCTAGCATAGTTCTCCAATATAGTGCTACGTGTCTAAAGCTGAGCCAAATCTTTGTGACTGCTCATCCAAAACAACACTGACATCAAATGAAGTTTCACTCAAGCATTGCAGAATTTCATCTTCTGTGTACAGAATGACTAGGAGGAATGAAACATGTAATTCTGCAGACAGCTATTTGCATAACATCATGCTAAAGCACATTATAAGATTTACCTGTTGCTGGTATACAGTGAATAATAGTCTGTCCCAGTTCCACATTTTCCTCATTTCTTAGAACATCTGCATCAGCTGTATCCAAGTGAAAATGAAAACCAGGTTAGTTGTAGGAAGAAAAAGTGAAATTCAGTGAAGCTGCCTAGGATGAAGGTAGCCCTTTGAAAGATCAAAGGCCTAACACTTAACCAACATTCAAGACTTTAACAGTGGAGCCGTTCCTGTTTGACACATGAAGCCGAATGCTCAGTGCAGGAATCGCCGCAGCAGTTTGAATTACTATTGCATGTCCCAGCTACTCACAATGCTCTATAACAAAGCAGCAACATCTTTCATCACCAGAGAAAGACCTATGGGCCTTGAAGAAGACAGTGAAAAGACAAGTCCTTTCTGAACAAAAAGGTCAAAATACGAAGAATCATAACACATTTTCTGCTCTGGCAAAAAATGACAGGAACAATACTGGCAATTTTTTTTATTTTTATTTTTTAAACAGGCGAATCTTACACTGTCAGATAATCCATTTCACTTTCATTTAGAAGGAACATGGCAGTGCCAATCTGTAAGCAACTCCTAAGCGCCTTCAGAGACAGCTTTTGTTTCCCTACCTATGTTTGGATTTTCCGAATTTCCTTATTCCAAGACAACATACACTGTTATTCAGCCTAGTCTGGCCCAAAATAATACTAGTCTAGTGCAATGAAACACTTACCCTTCTCATGATCCAGCAAGGCACCTTGATCTTGGTGGCCGGAATCTTCAGCGTTAGATTTTAAGTAAGAATCACAACCCCAAAATGCACAGCACTGGTACGCATATGGGACAGAGAGTGACCTGAAGTACAGGCAGAACACCAGTGTTACCCATTGTAACCAATGTTAAGATTACCATCTATTAACAACATTTAAGTAGCACACTTCAGTGCCAAAATTAAAGCTTTTTTAGTCACAGTCACTAATAAAAACCTGTTACTTCAAATTGGATAAGCTGTTACAATTTGTGATGAACTTTTGCACTGAGATGAAGAATAGGGGATGCACGCAAGCCTTGTCTGCTGCAAGAAGTACAACGAAAATACTGTGATGTTTAGCACTCTTTACTACTCATTCTACTCTTTATACAAACCAAATTCTCATCAGTTTGTGGCACTGCTGTGCAAATGAAACTGTAAACTAATTAAGCAAACTAATTAAGGAGTAACTGTTTTGTAAGAAACTTAATTCCCAGATGATGACAATAAAATTACACCTTTCCTTCCCACTCTTCATGTTGAGGCCCCAAAAGAGGAGGGTTTTTTTCCACATTTTGTTGAAGTTTAACAGAAATGGTACATACTATTAATTCTGGTAGCGAAGAAGTACAGCTGCATACAGAGATTTAAGAAGTCCACATAAACAGTGAGACAATAGCAGGCCAGAAGCTGATTTTTCTGACTCAAGTTTACAGTATCAGCTATGTGCAGTATTGCTTCCAAATTCTGTTCTTGTAAATGTCATCAGGCTGAAGGATCCCACAATGCTTTAGTTCTCAAACACAGATCAAAACCTAAAAACCAGTATGCTGTTTCCACAGGAGTGCTGAGGCCTGATTCTAAAAGTGACATGGATTCCTTCGCTGGCCTTCGACAAATTAACAGTTTGGGAAACTAACTGCTTCTTAATGTACAGTAGGACCTTTTCAAACACGAAGCAGTTAATCACTGTCTGATCCACCTCGCACTAAAATCAGTACCCAGTTTCCATTTGAGTGCAGATTACTGTGACTCTTATCATTTGCCTCCAAGAATAGATAATGTATGTATCTATAAAGTGTGGTGATTATGGAATCAAGACACCTGCACATCTGCTCCCATTTTCCACACTGAAAAATGGGAATGTCCTCAGTTCAGTGACAACTGGAATCCACCAAAAAACACTACTCCAAAGTCAGGTGCTATCTGCCTCACCAGTGGTGGAGTGAAAATATAAAAGGCTGCAAGGAAATTACCTGCAAACGGCTTCTATACTAGAATAGCCAGGTGCCCTTTCATAGGCCAATGTAAGGCAATACAGGACACAGCAGAGGGTCTGACCAGCAGGTCAAAGGAGCTGATTCTGCTCTACTCTAATAGAGTAGACCCCTCTACTCTGCTCTCTTGAGACCCCACTGTGGAGTACTGCATACAATCCTGGTGTCCCCAGCATAATGACATGGAGCTGCTGGAGCAAGTCCAGAGGAGGGCCACGAGGATGATAAGGGCACTGGAGCACCTCCCGTATGGAGACAGGCTGAGAAAGGTGGGGCTGTTCAGCCTGGAGAAGAGAAGCTGCGTGGAGACCTCAGAGCAGCCTTCCAGTATCTGAAGGGGGCCTACAAGGATGCTGGGGAGGGATTCTTCATCAGGGACTGTAGCGACAGGACAAGGGGCGATGGGTTTAAACCGAAACAGGGGGAAGTTAAGGTTAGATACACGGAAGAAGCTGTTCCCTGTGAGGGTGCTGAGGTGCTGGCACAGGTTGCCCAGAGAAGCTGTGGCTGCCCCATCCCTGGCAGTGTTCAAGGCTGGACAGGGCCTGGAGCAACCTGGTCTAGTGTGAGGTGTCCCTACCTGTGGCAGGGGGTTGGGACTGGATGAGCTTAAGGTCCTTTCCAAACCATTCCATGATTCATCATGAGTATTACCTAAACTGGCTTCATTTATGGTCACATTGCTTGTTACTGGCAGAATAAGCGAGGCACTCTGCGGTGTTATTTACCAACATACCGGAGCTTTGCAAAGTTCTTTGCTGCCAGAGCTGCTTTCAACTCTGAATTGCCTGTAAGTTTAAGCTGGTTCAGTCCACTCAATCCTTCGGTTGGAACTGAAGTGAGTTCATTGAAACTCAGGTCTCTGAAATGTGAATATTAAGACATCATTACAACAAAGTAAGTTTGAAGATCCTCTAGCATACATTTCATTGAAGTAAGAAGGCTTTTTAGGCCTCATACTGATGCTATGGCCTAGGAAATACCCGTCAGTGCAGCAGGCACTGCAAACAAGTGTGCCCTGCACATGGTCGGCTAGCAAGAGGTTTCACCATTCACAGGTGAAACACACAATGGGCACATATCAATTTTAAGCTAAAAATATTTACTGTCTCAGCAGTTCAATGCTAGAGAGAGGAGGCTGCTGCACAGAATAGTCTACTTACAGGTTAACAATAGCTCCAACAGTGGTGAAAGCTTCCTTGTGGATCTGTTGGATCTGATTTCTACTGAGGTCACTGCAAAGAATACCAAACGAAATTGTTTCAGCAGTTTTATCAAAACCTTGTAACAGCCACTGTACTGAGGGGAAAAAAGCTACGGTGACAAATGCATTATGCCTTTGTCAGAAAAGCTGGATAACCCTCCCACTTCCCTTCTCTCCCTAGTCAGCCTCATGCAGTAGCAACCAAATCCCCTGCTAAGACAGCAGTATCCTGCTTCACCTCATCCCCAAAGGAGAATCCATCTCCCATTCCTGCCCTGCTTCCCTTCCTTCCTGGCGCTAGCACCACAGCCTGTGCTCCCAAGGCAGAAGATGTCTCTAGCACCCCCTACTCCCAGGGTGAAGGTGTCACTTTGGTGACAACCGCGTGAGCAGCAGGGCACACTGGCAGGGGAGGAGGAAGACAACACAATAACAAGCAGAAGGGCCCCCACTCTGTTGGATTTCCAAATCCAGCTGAACCACCATGACTTGGATTATGACATTCCTTTTGAAACACCTGTCAGTTTTTGTCCTGATAATTTCAGTGTTCCTAGCACAAGCTTCATAAAGCCAGAGACGTAGGGGAAAGGGATGGTTTTGTTTACTGTGCTGCTCATCCCGAGGAAAACAGACATGATCTCTTCAATAAATACTGTATAATGGAATAATATACTAATAATATAATGCAAGATAGCAGCGATAAAATACAAAATAGTGGAGTACCAAAAAAATACCTTCTCCTTTCTTAATCTCCATATATATATATA